TGTCTCCGACTCAGCGGTGGCCGTGGCGGCGGCAAGCTTAAGCTCAAGAGTCTCCCTCCGCTCCAGCACCCGAGCTCCTCACTCCGGACTCGACTGACGGGCAAACATCGCTTCCCCCCCCAACCCCAAGTCCCCCCTTCCCTTCTCTCTCCCCTCCCCTAGACTTTTTCCCCTCCCCTACCTCTTTCCCGGATGGCCTCTTAGACGACCTCCGATTGGCTAGGCTTCTTTAGAACCCGCCTACTCCCTGTTCCTATTGGTCATCGGGATACAAACAACGACGCCATTTTCCCACCAGTTCTATGGAAACAGAAAGTTACGCCCCAAAGCTTCCCGGGAAATGTAGTCCAGCCTCTGGGGCCACTGCGCCAGGTCTTGCACAGAAGAACTGCAAGGCCCGCCATGCCCCGCGCCTACGTGAAACGGGAGGGGGGAGGGGCGGGGCAATCAGGCAGAAGGGAGGCGGCAACGACGCCTGCGCATTGTGAGCGGGATGGCGCATTTTCTTGCACCGAGTAATGCGGTGTCGCTGGCGGCTGAGGAGGGCGGAGAGTTGTTTCGTGAAGTAGGAGGGAGGATTCATGGAGGGGTCAGGAGGACCCCGGGTCTGAACGATAAGGTGGGAAGTTGACGCTGGGTACTGCTGCTGCCGTCCCCGCGGCGTGAAAGTTGTGATATCATCCTCGAACCGTGAGTGGCTGTGGTGGCGGCTGAGGGGAACCCGGATGGGGAGGCGGGTGGGGGAGGCTGGGGGCGGAGCCGACGGGAAAGAAAGAGAGGAGGGTGAGGACCCGGATGCTGAACCGGATTGTGTACGAATTTTCCATCCTCTGGCTGGAGACGGGGAGGAGCTGGGGGGCGGAGAGGGCGGAGGGGGCGCCTAAGCGGGGAGGAGTTGGACCCTCGTCGACCCTGCCCGTCGGCCCAGCCTCGTGAAAACCTGCCTCGAAGTCTTTAAATTCCCTTCCCGTCTTCCTCAGGCAGGCTTCTTCAGACCCGTCACCTCCCGGAGTCTGAGTGGAAGGGTTCGCTCTGCGCTGCACGGCCGCGCTTACATCTGTGTGTCTTTTTAGCAGTTCTCAGACCCTTCGCTTAAAAAAATATTTTGCGTATTTTCACGTTTTATTTGCCACCGGGTGCCCTTATTTCATCCTCTTACTCGTTGGGAGGCACTGTCCTCTCGTTCCTTCGTTCCTTTCGTCCTTTGCGTATTTGAACGCTTACCAGGTGGGAGAACGGGTCTGGCCCAGCCTTCGTGGACCCGAGCCTGGGGAGACAGGCAGATACCCAGCGAGGTGGACACTCGAGGGAGTGAGGTGCTGCAACAGTTCTGAGTGCTGCCAAGCAGAGCTCCGTGGGGCCAGCACTATTGGAAATAGGGGATTTTCCCTCCGAACAGAAGGGAAGGCTTTCCTGAGCAAGTGAGGCTCAAGCTGAGAGCGGAAGGGTTAGCGGGAGTTTTAACTAAAGAAAGGACATTCCAGACAAAAAATACCGTATTGGAAAGCCTTCGGTCCAGAGGGAGCTTTTTTTAAATTATAAGGAAGTGAGGCTGGAGGGGAGGGAGGGTGCCCGCCGACCTTGATATGCTTTGTTGCGCGGGGAGGTGTATCACTATTTAAGAGCAATGGAGTATCTTCAGAGGGATCTCACTCGGAAGGGAGATAGGACCAGATTTGAATTTGGAAAAGATCACTAGCTTTAGAGTAGAAGATAGATCAGTGGAATTGGGTTAGAGGAGCGAGTGCAGGGAGCCCAGACAGGAAGTTTTTGCTTAAGTAGCCCACACAAAGGAGAGAATCTGGTTTTGTATTCATTAATATTCATCATCCGTGGTTTGAACAAGTTTAAGGCAGTTTCCCAGTTTTGAAAATGAGTAGTTTCAGACTCTTATAGAGGCATTCAGTGGTTGTTACTCGGTCAGAAAGTGAATTAGTAGAGTTCAAAACCTTCTGTATAGCACAGGGAACTATACTCAATTTCTTGTAATAAACTATAACAAAAGAATCTGAAAATATATGTATATGTACAACTGAATCGCTTTTCTTTGCACCTGAAACTAACATTGTAAGTCAACTAACTTTCAATAAAAAAAATGTTTTTAACAGATAATAAAAGAATAAGGTAATCTATGTCAAAATTTAAACAATGTAGGTAATAGGTTACTAAACTAGTATTCGTATTATTTCAAAATATTTTCTCAACTTTTTTTCCCTTGCGACTCACTTAGTATTAACTGTTGGTCAAGGCAGATGTAGACATTTTCGAAACAGAAGGTTTCTCTTTGGATTCATGTTGCTAAAATTATTTCCTCTGGGAAGTGCTGATTTTTTATGATTATTTCACCTAGATACTCAAGAGTAGACCACAGAAGACACACTTTTCAATCTTTAGGCTCATGATCCTAGAGATCAAATCATTGTCCCAAGAAGCAAAAGGAAGTAGACAAAGGTGAGAAACCTTCTAAAATGTGCCAGATATCAGAGCTGATAAAAATGAAGACTTCTAACAGGAGGACAAACAAAAATAGCAAGAGATTGTTTACAAAGGAATAGTAGAGATTCAGTAGTAAAGGAGGACTCTAGGAAAACCATGAGTGATGTTCTAAGAAATATTGAAGTAAATATAAAATCAGAAAAATAAATCACTATGGGGACTATTTTTAATGATATAATTTCATTCAAGTTAATGCATGTCTTAATCAGAATTTCTGAGATGGATTTATTGTGAAGAAAATACAGAAGAGGAATTTTCCCCTTCTATTTTAAATATACAGTTAACCCTTGAACAATATCAGTTTGAATTGCACAGCTCCACTTATACACGGATTTTTTAAAAAGAAATACTATAATAGTACACAATTTGCAATTGGCTGAATCTTTGAATACAGAATCGGGTATGGAGGGCCAACTGTGAAATAATATTCAGGTTTTCAGCTGCTGGGGTGGTTCTGAGGGTATTGGTGCCCCTAAACCCCATGCTGTTGAAGGGTCAAATGTATAAAACAGTCATTTTAATGCTCATAGAAAAGTCTGTTTACTCATTTATGTGATCAGTCAAATATAGGAGTATCTAGTTCTGTGGGTTTGTTTTGACATTGGTGTCAAAAAAAATTTTAAGCCTTTTATGGTTGATTAAAATAGGAAAGGCTTTTTTCTTCATTTCATATCTTTTTCCCTTAATGGAGGCACCAGGGGTTGAACACGTGACCTCATCCATGCCAAGCATGCACTCTACCACTGAGCTATACCCCCACCCCCAGGAAAGGCTTTTTAATATAAGCTTTCTAATTAATGAAACCACTTACAATCCAGGTGAACACTTTGACCAATGTAATCACCTAAATGAAGCCTTTCCTTATTTTTTTCATGAGATACAATTTACATATCATGTAGTTTTCCCATTCCAAGTGTATAGTTCAGTGTGTTTTATTATATTCACAAGGTTGGGCCTTGTGAACCATCACCACAATCTAATTTTGAAACACTTTGATCCCCTCAGTAAGAAACCCCATTAACAGTCACTCTGTTCCCCTCTCCACCCAGCCCTATGCAATCATTAATCTGCCTTCTGTCTCTATAGATTTGCTGTATCTGAACATTTCATATAAATAAAATCATACAATGTGTAGTCTTTTAAAAAATGTTTTTTGGCGGGAGGCAATTAGGTTTATTTATTTATTTTTAATGGAGATATGATTGAACCCAGGACCTCACTGAGCTATTACCCTCCCCACAATATGTGATCTTTTGTGACTGTCTTCTTTCATTTAGCATGTTTTTAAGATTTCATATGTATAGAACTTCTTTTAAAACCAAACTGGAAGTCTACTTTTACAACAAAAAAAATCTTGAAATACAAATTCCTTTGCTTGTCAATACTCAGTTTACTTAATTACGTTATCTTTACATTTCTCCTTTTTTACAGATCAGCTTTGAAATTTGAAAACAATGGAGAAGACTCAAGAAACAGTCCAAAGAATTCTTCTAGAACCCTATAAGTACTTACTTCAGTTACCAGGTAACAGTTTAGTTGTAGTACCTGTAGGGCCGTTTTTATAGAGTAGTGGTCATGTACGTGTTAGCATACAGGAAAGGTTAGACATGCCAGCTCTTGAAATTTTCTATTTAAGGTGATACATATGAGGAAAATGACAATGATTTTTATTATTTTTCCTTAAAAGGGACATTTTTGAGGCACCCCTTTAAAAATATCCAATTGTTTAACATACCTTAAAAAAATAATACTTAACATACCTTAAAAAAATAATACATTTAAGTATCTCATTAGAGGTTTTATCCTTTATGGATGCCCTACTGTTTAGATACTAAGGGATGTCATGCAATTTGTATAACAACAAAAAGCTTTGTTTATCGTTTTCCACTGTCACACACACTGCATTTCTTACACTAATTCCTTTAAGAGACAAATAGTAATGCATCTAAAGCACGTTGCTTGCAAGCATAGCCCCCGTTATTCCTGTAAAAAGATGAGCCTCTTGGACGTGGCGTCCTAAAGAAACACCTACCTAATCATATATGTGTACTTGTTTTGTTTTGCTGTTTTTTTAACTTTGTCTGGAAAATGATAGTAGCAAATAAAAACTCAAGCATATGGTAATGGGTTCTTTTAATAAAAATTCACATATACGCTAGATCCTAGATGACAGGGAAAAAGTATTAAAACAAAACTGCGGTGCCTGTAAGTTAAGCCATTTATTGTACTGTTTCCAGTATACATTCTGAAGGGAAGGGAAGTATGGCTGCACATTGATTCTCTGTTCTTCATCTTCTAAACGTGTTTTTTAAAGTGATAGGGTTACTTTGCACAGTTGTGCATTCTTTGTATAGACCAGATTGCCCTTGTTAAACTGGAAAGTAGATTAAAAGTCTAAATGATATAATTGCTACTCAGACCATGTTCACCTTAAGGGTTAATAGACAGGAGATGCTTCCAAAATCCTGACAGCTCCTTCCCTTTTTGACTTCTCACAGAAAGTGAAACTTTGTTCCATTTGGGTATACCATGAGGGTTTGTGTATTCGTTTGGATGATTGGTGCAGAAAAAACACAGATAGGACTTAGAAAAGACTGGGTTTGTTTGCTGAAACTGTTTATGTAACTATTTTCCTGAAGCCTAATCTGAAATTAGGATGTTACTGGGCATTTACTTAAGCAAGAAGTTCATAGAATGAACATTTTTATTAAATGAACTGGTTGTAGTTTTTATCTATTATTCCTTTATTTGGGGGCTAAAATGACTTCTAGTGGTGACTACTACCCAAAGACTTCTCTTGAGTTTTCTGTGTAAGAAAAAAATATTAAAGAACTAATCGCCCTAGTCAAAAATAAAGATACTAACCTTGACTAAATTCAGGATGTTAGAAGGGAGTACTTCATGGAGCAGTAATCTTACTTTTTCATATAAAAGAAGTAGAGCTATCCAGTCTCTAAAATCTTAATTCAAAGGAATGGTAGATAATTTTAGGAGGTAGTTTTAGGAGGTAATTCAGTAGCAAAGTACATTTACTTACAAATACCTCTGGTTTCTGGGCAGTGCTGACGGCCACTGACTGGCCTCCCCTTGCAAAAAAGGAATGAATTAGATTATAATTCCTTAAAAGTTCATTCCATTCCAAAACTTAATACAAGTTAAGATGAAAGGAATAGGCTTACTAATGGGCACTAGAGTACTTTAGCAACTCTTTTGCCTGCCCTAATTTTAAAAGGTTGTGCATTTTAGGGTTTTTGGCCGAGGGGGCAGTGGGGGCCCAGCCATGGAACACCAGCTCTGCAGTAGGCAGATTGATGGGGCTGGATTTATCAAGTCTGATCAGTTTTAGAGGAAGTTTCTGAATGTGTTTCTGATCATTAAAATATTAATTTATTGCCAAATTTTATTCTTTAAATGCAGGTAAACAAGTGAGAACCAAACTTTCACAGGCGTTTAATCATTGGCTAAAAGTTCCAGAAGACAAGCTACAGGTATTTAGGCAATTCTAACCTTATTCTTAATCCCCAAGAAATTAATAGATATTATGTAAAAATACTCCATTAATTCAGTTTAATGCTCATGCAATGTTTTATATTGAGGTTGCTAGATAATTATTAGTTTTAAAAACTCAGACATCTGACACTTTGATAGTCTGTTACTATACAATAAGTATTTATAAGCGTTTTTGAACAGTTCAAATAAAATTAAATTTTTCAATTGTATTTCTTGTTAAGATTATCATTGAAGTGACAGAAATGTTGCATAATGCCAGCTTACTCATCGATGATATCGAAGACAACTCAAAACTCCGACGTGGCTTTCCAGTGGCACACAGCATCTACGGAATTCCATCCGTCATCAATTCTGCCAATTACGTGTATTTTCTTGGCCTAGAGAAGGTCTTAACCCTTGATCACCCGGATGCAGTGAAGCTCTTTACCCGCCAGCTCTTAGAACTCCATCAGGGCCAGGGCCTCGACATCTACTGGAGGGATAATTACACCTGTCCCACGGAAGAGGAGTATAGAGCGATGGTGCTGCAGAAGACAGGTGGGCTGTTTGGCTTAGCAGTAGGTCTCATGCAGTTGTTCTCTGATTACAAAGAAGATTTAAAGCCACTACTTGACACACTTGGGCTCTTTTTCCAAATTAGGGATGATTATGCTAATCTGCACTCCAAAGAATATAGTGAAAACAAAAGCTTTTGTGAAGATCTAACAGAGGGAAAGTTCTCATTCCCTACGATTCATGCTATTTGGTCGAGGCCTGAAAGCACCCAGGTGCAGAATATCTTGCGCCAGAGAACCGAAAACGTAGATATTAAAAAATACTGTGTACATTATCTGGAGAATGTAGGTTCTTTTGAATACACCCGGAATACTCTTAAAGAGCTTGAGTCTAAAGCCTATAAACAAATTGATGCATGTGGTGGGAACCCTGAGCTAGTAGCGCTGATAAAACACTTAAGTAAAATGTTCAAAGAAGAGAATGAATAATACTAAGCCATTCTTGATTAGGCCTGATAGCTTAATTGTCTTTTAGCCAATTACCTTTTTACAAATTTGGACCAAGCTGTTAGCCTCCAAAAACAGTGAGATGGTGGTGGTATGAGTGAGGCTGTTCCACTTAGAATCTTTGTGAACAGGTAATCATCACAGCACAGAGCTGAAGGAGTCAAAAGTTGCCACATCCAAATAGGTCTGCTTTGAATGTCAGAATGTGCTATGTTGGGACCTTGTGGCCGAGTCTGCTGCGAATGTTCTGTTGATTCTGTCAATAAAGAAGACTTCAGCTTCCAGGAATTTTTATCGACACTTTTTATGCACTATACAGGCAGGTATCAATGCATCTGCCCCAGTTCCAAGCCAGTGACAATTTGGGACCAATTTCTTAAGTGTTCCTGCTTAGAATAGCTCATTCCCCTCCCTGGAAACTCCCTCACTAAAGTCTTCCGTGAAAAAGCGGACGGTGACAAGCAGGGAGCATTCTGATCCGTTTTTTCAGCTCCCTTCTTTCCTTCCTCCATACCTAGCATATTCTGCTCTTTAACCAAGTAGTGTCCCTGAGTGAAATGTACACGTTAGCCCAGTTTCTTTTTCCCTCGTAATGTGACTTGTGCCTCAAAACTAGTAAGTACAGCAGTGTCTTTCCATTTGGGAAGAAACAAGTACACGGAAAAAGCACTTCAGGAAGGAGCCTTTAAACTGTTTTATATTTTCTCATCGTTAGCAGTCAGAATCGTAAAAGCTGTTTGCTCACCTCAAGTATAAAAGCAGGGGGAACTGCCCTTTTCCTCCCCACCTACATCACTAACCCCTCCTGAAGGCAATTGGTGCTTGAATGGAAAGGGAAGTGGGCACCTTTAATCTCTGTGATTAAAGGAAGGCGAAGTGTTAACCTGAAAGCTAGTGCCTGACTGAAAAGTACCGAAGGCTACACTGTCGGGCACAATTAGCTTTATAGAGCCTTAACCCTAACTCTGTCCCTTTTGTTTAATTTTAAGCCCTAAGCCCCTGGAACCATCTGTGGCCCAAGAGGTAGGGGGAAAAAAAAGACCCTGATTTCTGTGTTAAAGTATTGCTGATATCTCAAAATGAGAGTTTCTATTTCTCAGTAACATTGCATCTTGTTTGATTGGTTCTACAGTGTGTTAATTTAGATCAAATCACCATATACTTGAGAAATTCTCAGCAAAGCACTCAACCGAAATCTTTTTGAAAAGTTGGGTATTTACTAACATTTAAAATAATTTGAGTCTTCTATTTTAATTGATACAAGGAAATGTCTTCTGAAAATCATAGATATTTGTGCTACACTATGGAAATTTGAACTTTGTTTTTATGAGCCTGTAATTTTTTTGAAACAGTGGATTATTCAAAGGTCCAATGCTAACTGTATAGACAGAAATTACATTATTTTCCTTTAAGGATAAAGATTGCTTACGTAGATTATTTCCTACCTAATCAAGTTCAGTTTTGACCTGGTGCTACTCATTGTTTTGTCATTTTTGTCATGCCTTTAAATGACAGAAATGCTTGACATTGAATTGGGGACTTATAAGAAGACTCATTTTACCTATTGAATAATTAAAAATCCATTCTTTTTACTTGACATATATCATGGTTAATACAGAAGAAAATCAAATTGATCTTATTTGTTGGCAAAATCAAAAGAACGAAGGCTAGTTATGTTGCCATGAATCACTTTCGGACCTCAGCAAGATTTTAAATACATCAGCTCTTCTCATTTCAGCGTGTCAGCTTCCTGACTTGACTCCCTGCCCTTCCTAACCTACACCCCATAGTTGTTCACTTCCCGGAGCCTTCCCAGGGCTCTCCCAGATCACTTTCCTCCTTTCCTGAGGCCCCTGTCATCTGCCTGCTCCCAGTGCTGGAGGAATCCAGCTGTCCGCTTTGCTCCTCCCGCGGTGCCGAGTGGCTGCTGGGGAACATGTGGGGAAGTGCTCCTGTCGCCAGTGCAGGTAAATCTAGGAAAGCCTTGATAGCCCTTTTATTTTTTCATCTAATCCTGACAGAGACTTAAAATTTGTCACTCTAGCATCCCCTGCTCCTCCACTTTTCTCCTATTCAGTGTAAACTTCTAACTTTCCTCCCCTGTACTTCTTTAGATCTGTCTTCAGTCTGCTTTCGTCTCAGGAAAAGTTGTTTGCCGTCCTGCCCTAGATCAGACAAGCTTTCCTGTTCTTGGTTCCCTCCCTCCCTGCCTTTTGAGGGCCTTATTTCATTCCCTGCCTTGTATCCACAAGGTTTATCCATTGGCTCTTTTTTATGCAGTGTACTGGGAGGGAGGAAAAAGGAGACATGTACATTTGTGAAATACCTATTAGGTACCACATGTCTTATGTTTTTCTCATTAAGTGTTTACTGAGCAGAGCCAGGACCCTGAATACAGGTCAGAGCACTTTGTTTTTCAGTACTGCTGACCTATTCTGTAAGCACACCTAACTATATTTCAAAGTTTAGAAAGCACCAGTCTGTTGTAGTAATGTACTGAATGGTTTCTCTTCCTATGATCTGTATCCACTCCAGGCTATCCTTCATACTCCAAAGCTGTCTCTCTAAAGCACAGATCTGATTATGTCATTCTGATGGTTTAAATTCTCTGAATCCCCAGTGCTGCCACCTGTAAATTCCTTGGCATAATATATAAGGCTTTTCAAAATCTTATCTCCAACCTATGGTAACCAACCATGTTTTCTAACCGTATTTTCTCTCCTCACACACACTATCCTCTGCCAGGAAATACTCCTCACGGCCAGGACAGTATTCTATTACTCAATTCATTTAGAGTGTTTCTTGAGATCCTATAAGCTAGAGCCTTTGCTAGACTTTGGACATAGAAGAGTGATGGACAGTCTTAACCTCGTGTGATTTTCCTGTTGTGGAGACTGGGAAGTAAATAGCCAGTTATTGAACAGTATTGTTCGCGCTGGGATCAGGGCCCCTAAGTACTTGTTTACATGTGACCTACTTTCCTATTCTCAGTAGCACTTAATAAATGTTCATGAATGAATAAATCTGCTAGACTATAATCTCCCACCTCCCAAGGGTTCCATAAAACATCCTGTGTGTGAAAAGATACCATAAACTTCAGATGTTAGCTTTTATCTTCATGTGGTTCTTCTACCTCTTAATTCTTGCTTTAATGATTCTTAGTCAATGCTCTATCCCTTCTGAAAGCATTCTTAGACTGTTTACTTTCAGTTTTGTCCATAATTAACCACTGTATCAGAACCCTGACCACCTTATATTCAAGACCCTTATTTTAGCTATTCATCTGAGTTCTCTGTTACCAGCTTGAAATCAACATATTTAAAACCGAATTATACATCCCTTCCTATCCCTTTACCAATCCAAATAGTGGAATAAAACCACTTCACCCCCCTGCCTTTTCTACCACCATTGTCATTCCTCAGGTGAGCCAGGAATGTATCTTTGACTTATTTCTCACCCTTGCCTCTTATCCAGTCCTCCCAAGTCCTGTAGATTTGTCCTTTGAGGTGTCCCTTATCTGTCCCTTTCTGTGTTCAGTTCCTTTCCATTTTCACTACAGCACTTAGAACAGCCTTTGTTGCCATACATGCTGGGCCAGTATTTGGTAGTTGAAATACAGAAAAGGAGTCATGATAATGAATCCCACAGTAATGTGAATTCAGATACAATGCAGTTGGCACTTGTCTCCCCAGCCTTCTACCACCTCCAGTTGGCTAACTGCAGACTTGCTCTCTTTTTTCATTAAACCTTGTAATAATGCAACCTCATATTTTATGTGATTGAATATACTGGGCCTTTGCAAGTTGTATGGCATGATTTGACCATACTCTTGTTAAAGATCGTAATAGTGCAATAAGCAAAAATATTAATAGTACATATTTCACTATTAACCCATTAGTTCAAGTTAATTGTGTAGAATGTTTCATGGCCATTGATTAACGGGCATCTTTTCACGGAGATATCTGGGGAACATTTGTAGCACTTTCTGCCATGTCTTGCACATTCTTTACAAAGCATTCTATGCTTTTGGAGAATGACCAGTTTATCTTTGAATTGTATTTGTTACAATGCATAAAGAAAAATATATCTGAAGGTTTGAAAATTGGTATAATGAATAACGGAAGATATTTAGACCTCAATGGGCAGAGCAATTCTAATGGTAAGCTACAAAAGTAATTTATAAATCTCACCAAAACTTGTAAAGTCACTTAATAAGAATTCTAAAATGGGAATAGTTAAATATTTGAAAAGTAAAAAAATTTAAAGAGATTTAGCTTTCTAATAGCTGTCATTATTTTACAAGAAAAATGATTTGTTAAATTTGACACTGTTGATTAACTATAAAGAATTGGACATAAAACTAAAGGAAACTGAAAGTGAAGCAGAAGGTTAGTGAAACAAATGAGGATAAGTAAGCCCTTTGAAACAAAACGAAGTAGCTATTCCAAGAGACAAACGAACAGATTTTCTAATACATTTTATGAAATTGCATTTGTAGTCTGATAACAGAAGTTAAAGCGTCATTTTTTTTAAGTTTGTTCAATTTATTGAATCCTGAAACTTGGGCAGTTTAGGTTTGCAAAGCTCTAGATTGAAGATGAACAAAAGTAAAATTATAGCATTCACTAAAATGGCTTAGCACTAAAGATATAAAATATATAATTTTACACATTATTAGAAGGCTTAGAAAAAATCTGAATATAATTGCTGGTAGTTCAGAGGAAGCCGAGAGAGGATTCAGCACCAATGTCATTACTATTAGGAGAAATTTTCAATTTAAGACCACAAGTCACCTATGACTGTCAGTTTGATGAGGAAGTTGTGGGAGGACTCTGCAGTTTACTGTGTTGCATCACGGCTCAGACAGGAGCACCTCTGAGCTAGTGACTACTGCAGCAAACAAGGCCGATCGTTTCCTCCTGCCTCGGAGCATCAGCACAGCACATGTGGATTACTGTCGCTTGACTTGTTTCCCCGGAATCCCTTCTCTTCTTTCAGTCTGTGTTGCACACAACTGCCACCTTAATCTTAATTATTTGCTTCCACTTTATGCCTCTATTCAAAAATCATTTCTTTATAGGACAAACACTTTAGCTTCACAGTCACAGCTCTCTGTCCTCTGCTGCTCGTCTCCCACCGTCCCTTCCCTTCAGTCAAGCCCGACTGCTCGTTCCCACCTGCAGACATTGCATACGTTCCCACTCTCATGCCTGTGCTCACGACTGCTTCTGAGCTGCTCCCCTGCCATCCACTAATTTGCTCTGTCTCTAAAGTCTAAAGTTGTAATTTCCTTGCTGAAGACTTCTGTTCCAAATCAGGATGTCTTCGTAATAATTAAAAATAATAACAATGTAAATAGATGAAACAGACCCCTCCCTCCATTCAGATAAAAAGTGAGAGGATGGTCTGGAGCTTAGTATTTAGTAGAGACCTTACAAAGTAAGTGTATAAGTATTTGGCCTTGAAGATAGCCTTTAGTTAACTAAGATAATTAAAAGGCACATGGCTGGCTCAATAAGGAGTCTTTTTGTTATTCTCGGCAGACCCATTGCTCTCAAATGGTGAGGAGCTGACTCTGTTGTAAGGCAGCTGGAAAACATTTCTTTAATAGGAGTATACAACAGTGTTTCCCCAGTTTGAATAATGTACCATCTCCTTTAAAAGAAAAATGATTATTCTGGACCTCTACTGTTGACTTGTTATTTTTGTTACATTGCTGTATAAGTAAAATAATTCAAGGCATAAGCTTCTGGAGGGGACATGTTTGTTGTTCGCTGGCCATTCCCCCAACCTGATTCTTCCTGATCACATTCCTGTTTCCTTCTGGTAAATCACCTCTCCCCAGTTGTGTACAGCCAGGGTACCCTGTCTTCCCATACAGAAGCCACAGGATCCCAGGAGGTTGCTGTATCCTTCCTCTCGCTGCCCTGCCACAGTCAGAGGGTGATATGTGACCTAATCTTGACCAATTGGAGTCTGTCTCCAGGGAGATTCTTGAGTCGGAAAGGCTGTTGGAGTCCATTCAGCTGGTAGGAGGAAACTGACCAAATGGCTAAACAGTACTTGCTATTCTGGGTTCTTTTCTGATCCAGAATAGCAAGTACTGTTCTTCCTTGGTTCTTTGTCCGGAACCTGAACCTGGAGCTCCAGCCCTCCCGTTGTGCTGTGAGCTGTTTAGTATCCTTCCAGTAAACCCCCATTGTTCTTAAGGTAGGCAGATCTTCTCTAAGCTGTCAGAGAGAAAAACAAGAAAATGCAAGGTTAGGAGACTAAGTTAGCACTTGTGTGAAAAAAAAATAAAGAAAACATTTTGCATACATTACCCCTATGACGGGAACAGAGGGACCTGGAAAGCAGGAGTAGCGGAGTAGCTTCTGGCTGTATACCCGTTTACGGCTTTTGACCTTTGAAGCTTGGGAATGTACTATCTATTCAAATTTTGAAATTTTTAAAAGTCGTAGGAGCAATAAACAAGAAATATCATCAGTAATGCTAAGCAGATCATCTTTAAAGGGTGGCTCCTTAACATTCAGTGTTCAGGGAAGACCTTTCTGAGGAAGTAGCCTTTAAGCTAACCTCTGACTGATAAGAAAAGCC